GTCTCGGTATATTATTCTCCACTGGAAGCAATCTCATGATGGCTGTGTGGTGTCTACAGTGTTTACCCGGCACCTGGGTATCTCAATGTTCTTCATATTTTTGAGGCTGGCAGGTCTGACATCTGGTTGCTCCTCAACATAGGTCCTCCCCCAAGCTCACAGTTTTGTTCTCCATAGGAAGCTCTGTGTTTTCCATTATTTGATTAAGTGCTCCTCCAGCCTTTCCCTCAGTTCACCTAGCCAGGTGTGCTTTGCTGTCAGATTGGGCTGTGCCTCTGGGAGGCTTGGGTGCTTCTGGTGCCTAGTCGCAGGGGAAATAAGTGCTTTGTACCCATGCCTGCAGAGTTTACAGTGGAGTGGATCATGGCATTTTTGCTCAGGGGCAATGTCAAATGATGAGAGATGGTGCTGTCATACAAAATTGGTAGGTAGAGGGAAAGCACTTACCCTTTCCTCAGAGGCAGTTGCTCTGTGGCCCAAGTACATCAGAAGTATGCCATGGCCCATGTGCTGTTTATTCTGGATGTGCTGGCATGGAGTCCTCATCTCTGTCCTTGGAGACAACTCGGTACTTGGCTGGACAAGGCCCTGAACAGCTTGATCTGGCTTTGAAGTAAGGTCTGGTCCAAAGGTGGGGTGTGATGAGCTAGAGAGGTCCCTGCCTAAATTATCCTGAGATTCTTCACCCAAAGACTGAATGGAAGACAGAGGGCACCACAGATGTCCCTGGGACTAGGGCTGTACTAGGCTGACCACTTGAGATCCATTGTGTGTTCCTGTTCCCAGCTGGGGCTGTGGTGGGTCTCTGATCCCTGGTCTCCTGACAGGCTGCTGTAATGATTCTCCCTTTCTCCTCTCACCCCAGGGATTCTCACAGGAGTAGGTGTTACCATACAGTCAGTATGGCCAAAGCAGTTTTGGTGTAGGGGTCTGTCTCCTGGAGGGTCCTGCTCCTCCTGGGACTTGGGCTGTCACAGCTTGAGCAGGGTGGGATCAGCCTGTCTGGGTCACCTCCCAGCAGGGATGCTGGGCAGCTCGCTGCAGTAATGGAGTTCTTGCTCTTTCTCTTTTCCTTTCAGGGAGTCTCAGTAGTTCCCTGGGGCTCTGCAAGGCTTTCTGTTTTAGGTGCTGTTTATTGCAGGCCATCTCTGGGAGGTGGAGAAGCCTCCTTGTTCTCAAACTGATACTGCTGCTTCCAGTATCAGCCTTGTAGATGGGGCTTTGATATATTTGATTGTTTTAAAGACCGGGAAATTCTGCTTGTCTTTTTTTTCTTTTGTACTGTGTCTTTTTCAGAATATGATGCCCCAGAAACACACATTAAACTTTTCTGGAGTGGATTTGTGTATTCTAAGTCAGGAGATTGATTTACATGTTGTGTTAGTGGTGTTCTTCTTCCCACCACACATCTAATGTAGCAGGAGATGACAGTGCTGTGTCCTCAGCGCATGCTTTCCTCTTGTCCCAAGAGAGCTGGGTGCTCGGGCACCCTTGCAGCTCTGGTTATTGGTAGCAGAGACCTTTTCCCAGAGCCTGAACTGGAGAGCAAGCTGTTTTGAAGCCCCTTACGAAACTGCCAGAATAAAGCAGTTTTATTAGAGCCTGAGCCACATCTGTAGCTTGAGGAAAGGTTTGTGCTCTCAGATGGTGTGCAGCGGGGTTTGCTGGACAGGCAGCCAGACCTCATGGAGTGATCGGAGCAATCTGGCAGTCTTCATCTGAGCTAACAGTTCCAGGGTTTGGGAATGACTGGTAGTACTGAATTTTGATCTCGGCCAGGAGGTGAGGTGTTACTGTGTTGGCATCACTATTTTTCTGGTGTCAGCAGAAGAGGTGGAGCTTGAACTCAAGCTTTGCATAGCCCATAAAAGTTGCAGTGTCTGATTGAAAGCACATATTTTAGGATGAATGGATTGGACCAGACTTCAAATAATTTTAGCTTCTAGTAAATCGCTTTTGGGCTCTCTTAAGTACCTACTGCTAGCAGAGCCTTGATTTTAGGAAACAACTTTAGAGTCAAATGTACCTTCATCCCCTCTGTGTTGCAGGTGAGTGCACCTGATAATAGTTCAGTGACCTGAGGTGATCTCAAGAGGGGAATGTGTTAGGACACAGCTGAGTTGTTGAGGGAGAGCTGTGCTTTGTCCCTAATAGCTCTGCAAAGCTGGACTTTTCTTTAAAGAAGATCCCAGAAGATGGTGTCTGCTTGCATTCTGGTGCCGAGACACTGGCAGCAGTGGGAGTCACCTTGAGTAGTGGTCTGACAAAGAGACAATTGGCCCTGCCTGCCTATGATTGCCTGCTGGTCACACCAGGTCAGCGAGCTGGGAACATCACAGGTATGGAAGGTCTCCAGATCCACCACGGTTTTTATGTCCATTTCCCAAGAAGGTGCTGGCAGTATTGCTCTGAACTCTGCAAAGCGTGAGAACCTGAAACTTGGTCTGAGTGCACATAAAAGCTTTAGGGTGGGTAGATACACTGTCAGCTTACTGTCCCCCTCTCTGTCTCCCTCTCCTGGCAGTCTGACATCCTTGTGCATTCTCACTTCATATCACAGAAACCAGTAGAACAGTGCCCTTTTGGGGAGGGGAGGGGTTTTGTGGATACATCCTGGGGCAAAAGTTTGAGAGCGATGGATAGATAAACGGAAGAGTCCTGCCAGCTTCAGAGTCAGACCTGTGACAGGTTTGTAAGTGCACCTTAACTGGGGGATGTGTCGTGCTGTGCTCAGGCCGGGTTTGTCAGTGCAGCAAAGCTGCTGGCCCAGCCCTAGCCCTGCTGCATGGCTGTCTCTGTGTTGCGCCCCCCCACCCCTCACCCCATCTTCTGCCCTATTACCCTTGTAGCTTTTTCTGCTTCCTGGCCTTGTCATCTATCAGGGATGTTGCTGAGAAAGCAGTGGATGGCCAGGTCTCAGCTGCTTGCAGAAGGGGTTCTAGGACCAAATCCATTTCACAGAAAGTCAGGATTAAATATTGAAATATTTGGCGTTGCCTGTGTGCTCAGAAGTTCTGAGGAAAGGGGCTGTATCAAGAGGGAGGATGAGGTGGAGCAGGGTGTGGTCCCTGAGGCTCCTGTGTGCTCTCCCGGTAGCTCTGCCTCCACGAAGCTCTTCCAGCCCTCCTGTGAGATGAGAAGATCGGAGGTGGGAGGGTACCCCAGGGAGCCAAGCCGGTGAGGAGGAGGAGAGGTGCTGACTTGGAGCAGGTTGCTCCAGGAAGGCTGGTGAAGGTGGTGGGTGGGCAGAGTGCCCTCAGACCCCATGCTGATCCCTCATGCTTGCTGCAGGGTTTGTGGGCCAGTGGCTGGGTGCCGTTCACTGCTCCCCACTTCTCTTAACAGCTAGCAGCCCCTTTCTCAGATCCTTGGCACCCCAAGCCTTCCCCTTGCTCCTTCACAGCTGTTTGGGAGTAGGTCAAATATTTTTTTTATTAATAGCAACAGAATTGTACTAATTAATATAGATGAGATGAAGCACATGTTCTTCAACTTTACCATCAGCAATGTAATAAACTACAGTTTAAACTGAATAGAAACTGGCATGTTTCTGATCAGGATTTGGAAAACATTCTCCCCTCACTGTTACCTTCAGTATCTGCAATGACCTTGGTTTGAGCTGAGGAAGTTGCCACCAGTCTAAACAAAAGGTCTGTTTTGGGGGCTTGGGGTTTGGTTTGTGTTCTGGATCAGGAGACATTATGTGCAATCATACAGGAGAGGAGTCACAGCTGTAGTAAAGCAGATTCATGGACAGTTTAATTTCTGTTTTCCCTGACAGCTTGCATGGCAAGTGCCGGACCCAGGTCCGCTTTCCCTCCTTCCCAAACTGGGGTGGGTTTGCATTTCAGACAAACACTTCAAGTGTAAGAGAAGCAGAAACTCAAATCTCCTAGCAACTGCATTAGTCAGAGGGGTAGTCTCCACAGACCTGGAGGGCTGTGCATCTGGAGGCGCTGTGACATCCAGGGTAGTGCTGCCACCTTAGTGTCTGGCCGTTAAGAGAGATTGCTGTTCCAGCTGCTCGGGTAAACGCAGCACATTTCCACAAGAAGTCTGAGCTGTGAAACGACATTTTTGCTTTGCAAGTCAGTAGTCTGAACTGGCCTTCCGATCTGCTTTGTTCCCACCGTGTAGAAAAGGCCAGAGCTGCTCATTTCATAGCGTAGTAGCAAGAGAGGCCACGGTGACTGGGAAAGGGCTTGCTCCGGCGGGCTGTTGCACACTCTGTCTGCAAAGGCCTGCGGTGCTGAGCATCAGCACAGCCAAGGAAAACTGCAAAAAACCTCGGAGAGGGATATGGATGGTAGGGTAAGAGCAAGGCTGCTGCCTCAGTAGTGATTAGAAACCAGAGATTTTTAATGTAAATAATATTTTAAATATAAGAATATAGCTATAGCACCCTGATCCACTTTTCTATAATGCCTCATGTTAGAAAGCTAATTAATTTAAAGAAAACAATTTTGACTAAAAGTTTAAGGAATTAGTGAGGAAAAAATAGGCATAGAAGTGAGTAGAGTTCTGCTTGGTTCTTGATGGAGTTTAGGAGAGATGTTAAAAGATCTGTATAGAACAAGAAGTTCCTGTTTCTAGATAAAAAATAAAATTAGGCCTAGTTTTTTAATTTAACAGGCTTTAGCAAAAAAAATTGCTGCATTAGTTTGATATATGTAATAAATTTGGTTATTATGGCAAGTATAATTCCACCAAAAGGTACAGAATGAGGAAGAAATCTCTAAAAGTCTCAGTAAGGTACGTGATCCACTCTCCCAGACAATTCTGCAAAAACCTTTTATGGCTAAACCTCAGCCTTTCTCTCAGCTCAGCCATGGTACATGGCTGCTTTCTCATCATCTCCTGGTGTAAGAGAGTGTTACTGGTTATCACTGGATAGACTGGAGAGTTAGAGTGGGTTGTACTTATTGCTTTTCTCTCAAAGGTGTTGAATTTAAAAACAAACATACCTCTTAAACTGCAAAATGCAGCCGACAGTGAAGCATAATCCTCCTTCAGTTACTCGTATTTTGCAGTCTCACAATTGTTTAAGCAGGCTTTATTTAAAGAAAAAAAGTAGCAACCAAGTAAATGCATAGAAGGGACTAATTTAACCAACCCTTTGGATAAAAGTCAGGGTAGGGCAGGAGGTGTCATGGGAAGTGTTTTTATCCATCAGAAATGTGATGACTAAATGAGCAATTACGGCTCTGAATATATAACATCACTGGGTCCCTCCTACACGGATGAGTATTGCTACATTTCTCATGCAACCTGCCTGTGTGACAAAGCTGCACACACACTGTATCCAATTAGTGTCAAGTGTGAGAGTTGCTCAGCATGTCTTGTGTCTTAAACCCCTCCTGGAAGCAATTTTCCCAGCATACAAAGAGTAATTCACCCTCTTTCAGAGAACAGTTCCCAAATAAGGGCAGAATAAACACACGTAATACATAATAAAGCATTCTAATTAGGTAGACAATATTCTCCCAGCAGAAGTAGATGCAGAGTATTGGCTGCTTTGTGTTTAACATTGCATGTAATTACGTCCGGGTAGGTGATACAAGGCACTTTGGTATGCACTTGTGGAAAACAAGTGAAACAGCCTGCTTAAACCCAAACAACAAAAAAACAACTTGAAAAAAAATCAATGCCCACCTACTACAGGAGATACAAATTATTTTCTCTAAGGGTCACAGTCTCTCCAGAAGCATCAGTACATGAAGAGAGAACAGAGGGAGGGTACACAACCTGCTCTGCACCCCCCCTCAGGTACCAACTGCACCAGGGTGAAGCCGTTATCTTAATTTCACAGGCGATTTAACATGACCACACCTTCTGTAATCCACCGGGACATGGAATGTCCCTAGTAGTCTCCTATGACACCAGCTCTTCACAGGTTCTCAAGTGACCAAACATCATGTGTGGCCAGAGGCAGTGCTTGTTGAGAAAAAGGAACTCTGACACCAAGTTGTAACACAAATCCTACTGAAATGAAGGCAAAGCCAGAACTGTTCTAGTCCAGCAGCTGAAAGATTGGGTTAACCTCTCAGCAGGTGGTTCAGGAGGCCATGGGAGCCAGGGGTGCTTCCTTAGGTGAGAATATTGGAGGCTAAAGGCAAGAGACTGTCATGAGAAATGCTTAATTAATTAGTTAATTATTTACCCGAGGCAGTTGCAATGGGAAACACCAAGGTGAAAATGCCTGTTTGAGTGTAGTTGGTGTATGTTAGGTGCTGAGCTCTCGTGCACAGGAGAGGTCTGCCTCTTCCCTTCCCTGCTTTCTTGTTGCCTTCTGCTATAGGCTGGCTGGGTCTGAAACCATCGTCTGCTATTGAAGGAGCAGCTTTCCTAAACAGAAAACAGCCTTGGGGTGGCTTCAGTTTAATGCTGTGCTGAAGTTCTAGGCATCAGAGGTGGACAAGAAGGACTCAGGCAAGAACCACAGGTATAGGACAAGCAAAGCCAAAGAGAGGGATTCTTTGCTTCAGGTTATTCTAAGGCAGGCAGCGAGGATGACAGTAAAACTGTTTGTATCTCTTCCTTCTGCTAGAAGATAGAGCATTAAACATGTAATCAGAGTAAATTGGTACTCTGAGTGCCTGGGAGTGTGTAGCAGCCTCTACAGAGCAAGAGACACACGGGTACTGCACAGCCAGGCCGTGAGGACATGTGAGCAGCTGCTAACATGTGGGAAACTGCCTGTGGACAACTCAAGGATCTGAAAGACCTTTGTCTTTCAGGACTGTCCATCATGATCTCTGATATTTGCTATTATCAGAACTCAAGAGGCTATTAAGAGTTACAGATGAGTGCTGTGACAGGGCAAAGAGAACTGCCCCTCTGATTAGCACCACTCCCTCAAGCTGATCAGGGACTGATGGCTGGGTCCGGCCTAGGCTGATCCCTGCTGCTGAGAGGGGACAGACAGTGTCCTCCGAATGGCACTTGACTGTAACAAATTGAGGAGTTGCACTCACTAGCTTATATGCATTGCTGGAAAAGCACACCTAATTTGATAAGCAAACTTCCAGCTATAAAGTCCAGAGAACTTTTGTACCTGACAAAGGTTCAGGTGGAAATCTAGTGCAGGGTGTGTGGTGAGAGCTGAGAGCCCCTGATCATAGTGAAAACAAATGCTGGGCTGGGGAAGTTGGTTAGGAAATACTAGTATTTTCTTTGCCTCAACTCATTTACTTAGGTATTGGTATTCCTGTCTGATACTAAGCAGGTAAGCTTGGGGATGCGGAACTGAGCATGCCCAGGGTCTGAGGGCTGGCCCAGGCAGGGCGGACTACCTGGGAGTAAATGGCTAGTACTGCTCCTCACAGCCCTAGCTGGCTCCTGGCAACCAGTACAGGTGGCTCCACCTTGTTCATACCCCAAGCATGTGCAAGCACAGCAAGAGATTGCTGTTTTCAAGTTTACCATTGCCTGTTCAGAGTGCTGTAAAGTCCTTTTCCCCAGGGGGGTGGCTGTGCTTGTTACCCACACAGGAGCCTTCAGTGACCCCATGTGCAGAGCAAACAGCAGAGAAAGATTTTTGAACATGGTTCAGTCTGTTGTGCTTTGGTGAGCACATCTGTAAACCAGCGGTGGCTCTGGATTTGTGTTTTCATCACCCTCTTTGGTTGCTGGAGACAGGTGCGATGGATGGTTTCCCTTTCCTGCCAGCGGCCGGGCTGCGCCATCGCAGCACAGAGCAGCCCTGGGGCGCAGGGCTGTGGGCTGCGCCCTGCCTCGGGCCCTTCCTGGGCCCCCAGCCGCAAGGCTGGACCCGACCCCCGCTGGCCATGTCCTGTTCCCGATGAGAGTGTGGTGCAAAACCCGCCCCGGTCCCTGCAGGGGTGTCCCCCCCCGCGCCGCCCTCCCTGAGCCCAGGGACGCTCTGGGCGTGAGGGCGGTGTGCCCAGGCTCCAAACCGCTGTCACGGTGTCCCCGCTCGGCTTCACGGGAGCCCAGGGCCCTTCCCGTCAGGGGGGATCCCTGTGCCCCCAGCCTCTCCCTCGTGTCCCAGACAGGACAAATAAGTGGGCGCAGGCCTCCGGCCCCACACAGGAGCAGCCGTGGGCAGGGTGGGGGGTCCTGGCCACTGAGGCCCATCGGTACCTGAGACAGGCCGAGGCCGCCAAGCTCCTCTCCCCCATGCTGGCGGGATCAGCCTTGGCCGCCTTCCCCAGAGCTCGGGGACACACAAAACGCACAGCTCCTCCCGCCACGCCTGGAGCATGACCCCCAGAGGATGCCGTGGAGCCACCGCCGCGCTCGCTCTGAGTCAGGGCAGGCCACGTGAGGGCCCAGCGCCAGCCCCGACGCCTGCCCGCCCGCCATCACGTGCCGGGGCCAGCGCTGCGCACACCCTGCCCCGGGATCCCGACCCACCTTCACAGCCCTGCAGGTAAGTGCTGGGGAGGCGTTCGGGAGCTTCTTGTGGTCAAGACTGAGAGTGTTTTGGGTTGCGTCCTGGCTCTTGGTACACAGCTGGGTTGCTGATTACTCCTCGAGGCATCACACCGCTGTGCGAAGGGTTATGGCGCTGTGGGGGAGAGCTACAGGACTTCCCTGCAACCTCTGTGTCTTCTTGACTGAACATACCCATCTTTTAAATAATTTTATATAAGTTATAAAATCCTTGTGGTAAGCCCTGAACTTTATGCGTAGAGAAGATTTGTTTGCCTTAACTTTACTTGGACTACAAACATGAGCTCTTCTGGCTTCTGATGAGCTCATTTTCTTCCCCTCAGAGCTTTCCAGCAACCACAGAGAGGAGCACGCAGCGCATAGGAAGAAATACAAACCAGGTAATTACAAATGGTATGTGTAAACCTGTACGGGAGCGCTGCCATTGTGTTACCAGAGCAGCCAGAAAACAGACAACAAACTGCCCCAGGTTTGCAGGTGTCGGGGCTTGCTGCAAGAGCCGGGAGAGGAAGGAAGTTGCTGTGGCGAGGGGTGGATGGGCTGCGCCCAGTCCCTGCTCACCCCCATGGGCACGGTCACACCAAGCCTGGGGAGCTGCCCTCCCCACAGCAACACGCTCGCTGGGTCTTTCCACCTGCCTGTGTTCAAGGACGCCATAAAGAGTGAAAAGTTTTTTGAGCTTTGCTACTTCTCTGTCGCAGTTCAACTATATTTGACAACAGGAAGGCAAGCAGACGAATAGCAGAATTATCTCACTGGTGGCATTGCCTGAGGAGACTAGAGTAGGAACGGTGTCAGACTGAGCTGGTGTGCATCAGTTTTTGTTGTCTCACTGAAAGAAACTACATGCTTTCACCATGGCTGCAGCCCTCCAGAACATCTTCCTGTGGAACCAACCATTAGGATCAGCCTAAGACTTGCAGGTGTGCTTTCTGAAGTTTGTTTGTTTTGGTTTGGTTTGGGAGAAGGGCAGGGAGGGACCTAATGTTTATGTTTAAAATAAAATTTAGCAAGATTTGGTGTCAGCATATAACTTAAAATGAAAGGTAAAAGTAGTTTCAAAAGAAAAAGGTTCAGGATTGTCTGTTTTTTGTCTTGACGTCAAAACAACCTTATTTTGCTTTATTTGCATTTTTTGCTATCCCATTGAACAATTTTACTCAGACATGTTTCAGCAGCTATGCAAAAAGTTGTTGTGTATGGCAGTTGCTAGCCTCACTTCCTAACTCACTGCACACAAATTTTATTCTAACATGTTAAAAACTCCTCACTGCAATGATGTTCTGATTTACTGTGGGGAAAGCAAGATGAGGTCTGTTGTTCGTATCATTCCCCAGTGAGCTCATAGCTAGGCTGAAACGCCAGTATGTCATCATCCTTCTCTCATTATGAGGTATAACCAACTAAATCACTTTTGAAACAGACAATAATTAAATGCCTATGCTTATCCTTTGTTTAGATCTGATTTTCTTTCCGGAAGAGCCACAGGGGAATTAATTGTCCATAGTCTAAGAGAAATTAGGTACCCAGCTTCCTTAGTTATGTAAAGCTTGGTGGTTGACTGTGCTGGAGGCACAGAAAGGGAGATGGGTGCAGATGGTGGCTGCTCCTGGATCCTCTTGTAGCATCCAGGTCTTATCATAGCAGGATGCACCAGCGCATTGGGCAAATGTGTTTCTGTTGCTGGTACAGCTGAGCAGTCCAGTCATTTGGGCCAGGAAATGGACAGTTTTAAAGTAAATCAGTCTGATAGCAAATGAGGTTGACAGCATCTCCTCTGCCTTCAGTGCTGAATCTGCTCTTCCTTTGTGCATGGTGGGACAGATGTGCTGGTGCCTACCTGCTCACTTTGTCTTTGGGATGACGCAAAGCCAGCATAAGGCAGCTGCCATGACAGCTTCATGTCACTGGCAGAGCAATGTGCCTCCAATGTTCCAATGAGAGAGGCCTTTGCTAGGTATTAGGAACCCCAAACACAAACCTCCGGAATTTCACTCAACAGCAAAATGTGGATCTTTATAATATTTTTATGAAATGGATTTATCAGTCAGAAAATAAATGTTTAAAGTAATTTTGCTCCTTTAGGCATTGTATTTCAACGGAGCAATCCACAAAGAGAACTAAAGGATTTAACTTATGAAAGTAAGGTTTAAGCTGAGTAAATAGGAAGGCAAGAAAGATATTGAAAAAGGCTGAAAACCATAGCTGGAGATACATAACTGCACAGAAGTTATGTTCCTTATTTATTGTGCAGCCAAGAATGAGTTTATCCAGGGTGTGGTATACCGGGTTCCTGTATTTCAACATCAGCTGTTGCTTACCCGGGCAGAGGACAGATGCGTTTCCTGCATTCCCTATCGAGTGCTCACAGTCCCACATCGCCAGCGCCTGTCACGCAGCTGCAGCAGCGAAGGCTGTAAGTCAGGCAAGGTTTGTGGGAGAGGTAAAAACTTTTATTAGACTAGTTGATAGAGTTCAAAGCTTATTTGTCAAAAAACTTGCTAGTTTCTCCAGGTATATCAGGTGGTTAAATAAAAGGTATTTGTCATGATAGATGTCTTGCATAGACTCATCTTTGGGAATAGTTCCAAAATGTTCTTAAATTTTTTTTTTTTTTTTCCTCACAATACACCTAGGAAATAGGTAAGCAGTTTTCTGGTCTTAGCCTTTAAAAGTGGTTAAAGAGATTATGTAATTTCCCCAAAGCCAAACAGCAAAACAGTGGCTAAACACGGGCCCTAATCACTTGAAGAATCCTTGCAGCCCAGAAAAGGAGAAAGCCCCCAGAATCACCAACACACCTAAAATTTGGGACCTCAACCCTGATCCCAAAGGAGGGATGGGTTTTGCAACTCCTTCGGAGTCCATTTGTGTCTAATGTCCTCTGAGAACTGATACATTAAGTTGCTCTGTTTCCAGAATAAATATGTTTTTATTTGTGTGTTACACTGACCTTCTGAAGATATTAACTGGACCTGGTTTGGATTTTGTATTAGAACATTTTTCTGACTGATATGATGGTCTCTAGAGAACTGAAACTGTAGGCAAAGACACAGTTTTCCATCTGGAAAATTTAAAGGAAATGTTTAGTTTTCAAACTGCGCGATTGAAAGTGTTTTGTTGAATGGACCCAAAAGTCATATTGTAAGAAAAAGTGTGGTGTATAAATGGTTTTCCTATTGTGCCTGCATAGTGGGAACTGTACTTCAGACTCCCCAAAAATCTTCTTTTGCATCTCCCAATACAATAGTGTTTAAGATTAAATGTTGCACAAGGGGAGATGTAGTCAGTGCAAGATGCCTGCAGAGCAGGCAGAAGCAACTGTTCAGAAGCACAACCACCACAAAAAATGCATCATCAGAACAAAAGAGCCTCAAAACAAAATTTGTGGGGTGAGTTCAGCAAAACAAAAGAAAACACTGGATTTTGGGGAAGTCAGAATGTTTTGTTTCTGTGGCAAATACCAGTAAGAAATCTGGGATCAACACTTAAAAATTTTAAATTCATAAACCTGAAGTTAGTGGAAATTTCTTCTTCATGTCAACTGGGGAAGAACAGATGCTGAAGTGTCAAAGTGTTCTCTGAGACAAGGATTCCAAATCTTGTGGGGCTCTCCTATGAACTGCTTCTGCTATTCTCTCTGGGGTTTTGGGGTTTTTTTTGTTTGTTTTTTGGGGTTTTTTTTAAGTATGTACCAATATGCTAAAGGTACGGAACAATCGGTCTGTTTTGTGAATGGAACGGGCCTATTAAGTTACTCACACCTGTGGTAAATAGTTAATTAGACACCTTGGTAGTTGTAAAAAAACAACAATGTGAATGATCAAGTCAGACTTCTTTTCGCTTTACTCATGATGATCAGACTTTTGTTCTTTCTTAATAACCAAATGCCAGCCCAGCAAGACTCACTCAGAGGAGTGGAGAATGGGTCCCAGGAGGATAAATGAATCATGATGTGAAACTCTCATTGCAACAGAGAACTGATTTCAAAACTAAAGTGCCTAGAGATAGATGCCATGTTTGCAGAAAATCAAGTGTAAGACAAAAAATCAGAGAAGGTCAGACTGATCTGTTTCTAAATATGATTTTCCTCTCCTTTTGAACAGGAACAGCAATGGAGAACTTGAATGTCCTATTCCCAGATCTTACTGAAGAACAGCAAGGTAAGGGTAGTGCAGTCCAAGCTTTGGCTTATTCACACTACAGTAGTGTTTGTGAGAGTGGTTGTGAGTCAATGAAATTTGTTTCCTCTTGAATCACAATCCATCCTCCTTGATTTTAAAAGAAAGACCAGTAGTCAGTTCCCAGCTCTTCCACAGGCTTCTCATCGGGCCTTGGGCATGTGCTTGGGGGAATTTAGGTACATGAAGGAGATTTTGCTGTGCATTAAATGCCCGATGAGCTGTCTCAGTACCTTGGTATCCAGCCCTTCATGTCTTTGTGCCTGTTTGTAAAATAGCATGGTCAGAAGAAGCACCCGTTAAATACTTCCCCTGCTTCTCTGAGACAATAGCGTCACAAAGACATCAGTAATCTGTGTGGACATTTTTCTACCGATTTCTGACAGACTGAGTTGCTCTGTATAACACAGCACTACTCTCTTTTCTATACACTAAGGTGCTGATGTTGGGCAACGTGTTAGAGTCTGATGTCTGCCTCCTCCACACCTACACTGAGCACCACGGGAACACTTCCATGCAACCCACCTCTACTGCTGCACAGTGATTTGCTTGTTTTTCTTCCCAGACGTTTTCCAGAGGGTTTTTACTGCTGATGCCAGCTACTTGGAGAATCATGAGAAAATGAACCAGTCCTTCTGGGAATCACTTGTAAAATGTTTATCCACCACTGACCCACCTATCCTGAATACTGAAGAAAAGAATAATGTGAGTTGCTACAGAAACACGCATCCTTTGTAAGGCATTGTTACAGAGATACTTCTATACTTCTCTGATCTACTTTGGGGACAGAAAACATACAGTCCAGTGACTTGATATGCTAAAACATAACTAGAACATGATAAATGCTGTAAAAGGGCACACAGATAAATGAGACTCAGGCCCCTGCTTTTTACTTCATTGCTCTCCATGTGCAAAAATAACTGGCTTTGTATAAAGATCAGTTCAGCTCACTATTTTCTAGACAGGACCACTGTTAGTGATGTCTTGCTGTAAGATACTGCAGAGAGTGCACATCCATTTTCAGACCCTCTATTTCTCCAGCTCTCTAAATAGTTTATTACACACCATTTTTTTCCCCCATTTGACAGCTCTGCTCTGAGTTGCTGAATGGAATTTATGTTCTTGTCCCATCTTTGGCATTACTCTCTGCCCCTGATTTCCCCCTTGTACAGGAGGGGCAGGGGTTTACTTGTCCCACAGATGGGGTGAGATATGTTCACTTGTATAGCAGGGTATGCTTTTGCAGGCCATGTTTCATTGGAAGGACTGTTATTTGCTATTTACTTACCTTTCTTTCAGCTCCTCAACAGCTGCAGTGTCCTTCCTGGTGGCTGTGCAGCCTGCCTGAAGGCCATAGAGAAGAAAGGAGTCAGGGCCATGGCTGTTCTTTATCTCTTGCTGAAGTCAACCAACCCATCTGGGTACAGGCAGCTGCCCAGCTCCAAGGGAAAGGGTGAGTCCTGCCCAGCTGCTTGTCAGCTATTTTGTTAAAATCACTGCAGTGCCAGTGGGACTTGACACCAGTTTGAAAACTCTGATATGTGCTTGGATGTGATTTATTAGTGAACAAGTAAAATATCTAGGAAGTTAGGTATGGTGGTAATGGGAGCCAAAGATAGTATTTTATTTTAGTTTGACTTGGTTTCTTCTGGAGAAAAAACTCATATACTTAGGCAAAGAGGATGTCCTGGGGTGATGATGCCAAAGAAATTTCTCTGACAAAGTGGTGCCCCAGTTTTTCCTGTCTAGCTGGTTCATGACACCCAAGATGCTTTTTTACATGGACTGTTACCCAGCCAGCCTGGAGGTCTCTGAGCTCTCACAGTGGCAAGAAATCCAAGCTGAGCCACTGAAAATATTTTTGCGAGTGACCCCAGCAGCACAGGTAGTAGTAACGAAAAGGAATGGCCAGAGGATGCCACTCTGGGTGCTGAACCTGTCAACGAGATACAAATAGGCTCCACTGCACTTCTCAAGTGCCCGGTTGTGCTGTAAGAAACTAAGTGCAGTTCCCCAGGGTCCCTAGAGTCAGGATTCGTCTTCTGCAGCTCCCAGGTTTGCCGGCCCGGCGCTGGGCGCTGCCCCGAGGCTCGGCTGCGGGGCCACAAGAGGGGGCTGGCGCGGCGGCAGCACCGCGGCGAGGGCAGGAGGAGCCGGGGAAGGGCGAGCTGCTGTTCTCCGGCTACAGCATCTTTCAGCTGCAGCTGCTATTGCTTCAGGCAGTGGGAATTTTCACAGGGTAGCATTATGGGTAAATTAAAGGTCAGAATATGAAACTTTAGGCATCTACCACAAGCATTTAGGAAAGTCTTAACAGTAGCCTTTATGATGCTTTCATTTGTAATGCTTTGTGCTACTCCTCGTGTGCAAAAACCACAGCTGATATAAGAGTAAGAGTCTGATTTCCTGTGAGACAACCTTTAATAAATCTGCCACTGTAAGAGAGACGATGTAAATAGTCATCTCTAATACTTTTTCCTCTATATATAATACAGATGAAAAATTGAAACCCCTGAAGAGATTGGAAAGGAATCTCATGCTTTCACCAGGGGAAAAAAAGGCTGAAAACTCATCCCATGAGTCCACAGATGAAGATACACAAGGTAAAGAGGATTTATTTTATTTTTCTCTGATACATAATTTGGTTTGATTGCATGTTCATAAGAGATTGACATAGGAGACTTGCAGCAATTCAGTAGCAATTCTGCAGAACTCTGAAAAAAAAAAAAAAAGTGTTAGAGAACACAGACAATAATTAGTACCTCTAGATTCATTATCAGCAAAATAGCGGCTACCTCCCGCTCTTGTGGAAGTTGGGAGGTTTCAGAAATGTAGAAATCTGCTGCAAGATTTCTTCCCAAATAAAGGTCATAACTTCTGTGATCTTCAGTGTCTCTCTGGTCTAACTGCATCCTGCACTATAGCAGGAGGCAAAGACCAGTCCTGGTACAGTAGCAGCTGGCAATGCTGTAGTGCTTCTCTAGCATTTCTTTTCTTATTAGCAAACATCACTAGTGTATCAAAAGTCACTTTGGCTGCTGCTAGGCCATTTCATTTATGGAAAATGAGAGAGGCTAAGAAGTGGCAGGCAACACAGAAGTGATAAAAGTGATATTGGCTTATTCTGTTACAGAAAGCTACAACCTGATTAAATGCTTAGCTAGATCAGATGATTTGCTTTTAGAAATACATTTTTCAAAGTAGCTAGCAGTGCTGACAATGTGTGTTTAAAATGAGAACTTTCTCACTACACCCCTTTCTACAAATTATTCCAACTTCAGATTTTGCGGGTTTTTTTTTTTATTCAGCCAGCTTTGAAGAGAGCTGTGAGGCAAAAGCAGCTAATAATGATCCTTGCATTTCAGAGCCTTGATTTTTACCTACATATCCCACAGCCATCATTATATTATGAGCAAACAACTACAGTGCTGTTGTTTCTAACACTGCTGGCACGTTTTTCTTTAATCTGATGAAGAAACACTTTCTCTATCCAGACAGTGACAGGGAAGATTTAGGAAGACAGAAGACTGAAGGCCAATTACTTGGAGGTAGGACAAAGTGGCAATATTGGTTTTCACTAGAGACAACCAATATAAACAAAAGGATAATTTCTGGCATTCTTTGGTTTGACTTTTGAACAAAGGTATATTAACATGTATGGACATAGGAAAAGGACCAGTCAGAATTTGGCTGCAGGAAAGACATTTCCTATGAGATGAAGCTCAAATGACGCTAACATTCAGCCATGCCTTGTGCTTAGAGCTGAAGCAGGAGAATAGCAAAATCTGCTGCTGTGGGAGAAGTCCTGCTGCCCGGGTTTGCACAGTTGCCATTGAAATGCAGCAAAAGAGTTCTGAAACTCTCACAGCCACTACTTACAGGGGCTGCAGTCAGCCCTCAGTGTTGACTGGAGATCATCAGCAAGGACCACACTGTGGACCTCATTCCCAAGGCTTTTCCTTTCCTTCCGAAGGAAAAATGGAAAATAAGTACAATGCAGGTGAAGAAAGTGTGCTGTGTGACAGAAAGAGCTATTGGCTTATGGTATAGAACCATGGATGGTAAAAAAGTCAAGGCTTTAATCATTTAATTAATATCTTAAATTGATCTCAGCCCAGATGTAAGAGCAGCTCATTTAAATTGACATTAAGAGATCTGTCTCACAGGAGTCTGATTCTACCTGACTCCAGATATTGTGAGGTGGAATATGGGGGGTTAATAATCCATTCATGTGCCCCCTTTCGACCTGCATAACTTACATAGAGCTGCCCTCTCGAATGAGTTCGAGTTGGTGCCTGCCTTGTCACTTTTACACAAGCACACTAATTTCAATAGAAATTGCATGGGCTGGGACTGGCAGCAGGAGATTGTACTCGTTGTGGGTATTAATCTACACCATCTTTGTGCAATATTTTAGGCATACCAGCAGAGGTTGTTCCCTATAGAGATCCAGGTAAGCGTTTCCAGATAACCTCATCTGTTGGAAGGAAGACTGTAACTCCAGTTTCTTCTTTCTGACATGCTTTAAGTGCTTGATATGCTTCTGACATGGATTTAAAAAATCCATTGGGTTTCCAGTTAGTCTGGTGTTGGACCTGGGCATAGTGCAGACATTTTGTTCCAAGCTTGTCACAGTGGCTGGCTGATAGCCGGTGATTTGTACGAGGTGTTCTAGCAGGTTAACCCATTTTTTGGTAGGCCTGCCAGGTTCTCACAAGATCAGCTCACAGCAGTTGTCATCCTTTTTAGGGGAGTACCCAGCAATTTTGTTGGGCAACTATCCAGTCTTTCCTAAGCAATCGAGGCAGCTTTCAGCATTCCCTGCAGGCCTCTGTCTCCTGCTGAACAGGGTTGCCAGGCTGGGACTGCAAAGCTGATGCTGGGCTCTGAATGCCGTCCTCACTCACCTGAGAGCACTGAGCATGCCCCAGCAGAAGACACTAGCTGAAAGCCAGATGACAACAGAAACAATGCCAGCTCAGAGGCTGGAACAGAGTCAGTCTAAAGGCAAATTTCCTTTTATCAGGCACTGCTGTGCAGCAGCAGAACAGATGTAAAAAGCCCATAGCAGGAAATTCTCAGTGGCTTGATTGCATTACTGACCCTGACCTGCCCCTGCCAGGCCAACACCACATTCATTAGTGACGAGAGGCAGACGGCCCAGCAGAGCAGCCTCTTCTGGAGAGGACACCTGCTCAAGCACTCTTCTTCCGTGCAGTGGGGAATAGCTGCGGTGACTTGGGCTGAGGACATTGTTGGGAAGAAGACATAAATTGCAGCATAATGCCTAGGAGAGGTTTTTGAGTCACCTACCCCCAAGGAGCTACACAAAATACCAGGGTAGAGGAATACATGATAATACAATATTCTCCCCGCATTGCCAGGTGCAGAAAGAGGATTACAGTACTTTTCCAGTTGGCATTTGGCCTCTCGACCTCTTACCACTGCCTGTGTTGCTTCAGTTCTAGATTACTTCAATACACCAGACTGAGACACTGAAAATATTTAGCTGGAGCAGGACACCATGCCCACTGCACTGGACAGGTTCAGGGGATGCACACATGCAGCACCTGTGATGCCAGCTCTGCCTGGTTCTAGCTTCAGTTCTGGCAGCTCAGTATGAACATGGAGGCCATCAATCCTCCACTGCCCAGCTACTGCAGAGAACCTGGGATGATGGAACAGCCAGCTTTATTGTTACCTGTTCTTGGGCCCTTTTAACTTCCTAAATTTCCTGGCACTTTCCAAGTACTGTTTTGTTTATACTGAGTCACCAAATCGGTGTGCTTGCTGTGCTTGCTGGGGCTGATAATGGTGCAAAACAATATATTTGTAGTTTTACCATCAGAAATAATAAAACTATGTTGCTTTTCAGAGATTACCAGAAGAGAAGATTCATTTGCAGATGGTAAATACAAACAAGCTAACAGAAGTTTTTCTCGTTGATGCTGTCTTTCAGGACTGAGTTTTGCTTAGTGATCACAGCTATACCCACTTCTTGATACCTAGGCATTGCCTAATCAAAAAGTAGCAGTTTGAGAATAGTTATTAAAATGCACTGTAATGCTTTGATAGAAGAAATACTGTGCAAGTCATTCTGTGAAGCAAAATTAAAGTGGGACTACTGCATTTAGGAGGCAGAGTAATTCAGAACAGACACTTGCCAAGTATGAATTGATATTCTCCTAAATTCTGCGTTTATACAAGTAATTCATAGAGCAACATTTCTGAGTCAGAATAGTGCAATGCTGTGTTAACACTAAGAATCAAATAACTGATTTTATCCCCAAACCAGCACTTGATCAACCCAGAATGATCAAACAATCAAAAATACAAAAGCATGACTCCTGTATCAGGTGACCCAGAACAGAATTTCTTGGCAAAGTTTAGTTGCTCCAAAAGCACAATAGCAGACGTCTGTGGCTCACTGGGAGTACATTTCCAGTACTCTCCTGTGATATCTTTAGAGACAATTACATTCACTGCCAGGCAGGTGTTGCCTGGACACACAGCCCAAGGTAAGTGAAATCAGCACCTAAAACTTGTGATGATTCAAGTCCCAAAGGCGGCTCTGCGGCAGACTGCCTCGGGGTCTTCTCAAGGGATCAACAAACAAAAAAGGAAAACACCTTCTGCTTTGAACACATCATTGGAAATCTGGTAAAATATTCAGCTCCTTCTGAAATACAATTGGAGAAAGAACAGAATTTTGCAACTCCACTCACGACTAGTGTAGAGCAAAATGCTCTCTATTGAAACCTCAAAAAAATAACTAGCCTGTTCTTACATTTTCTTTCTGTGTGTCAGCTGTAGGAGACTGTCACCTACAGTTCTTCTTTTGGGAGGTGCAGAAATGCTTCAAATTTAGGCTTAAATTGATTGGTGGTACTCATACGCCTAGTAGTGGAGATGGTTATATTACTGTAGCTGTGGTTGTGCAAGGCACCCAAGAATCAAACTGAAGCTCCCTTGTCCTACTGCTTTACTCCCCCACAGTAATTCTGAGACTATTGATTGTCCCAGACTGGACAGAAAAGACCCAGAGTGCTTTAAAACAATTCTGTATTGTTAATGCAACCATCTGATTATGCTTTTTTTTTTTTTTTTTTTTTTTTTTCTCCTTTTAAAAAAACCTGCTCTTTTTGGGGTGATTTTAAAATTGCTAATTTGATCTTTCTGAGAGGCTTGCAGATCTTTGTTTTACAAATATTCTGCTCTGAGAATCGATTTCAGATGCAAAAAGGGATAGTTCTGAGTTCCACAGCAATAAAAGACATTTCTTTTTTGTAGCATATGAGAACGAGAACCCTCATCTCCATCAGTGGATGGTACGGTGGATGGGCATACGGAAGGATGGTAATTTAAAAAATTTTTTTGTTTTAATTCAGCTGATGTCAACCCTGTTGAACTTTAGTCCACGAATAAGATCTTTGGTTCAAAACTCCTTTTTCTCCCCCCCCCTTGATGCGAGTACTTTGTTGAAGTGCATCAAGGCGTCTCAATGACAATCATCAAGGCTTCTGGTTAACAACTTTTGTGCATCTATCTTTTGCAGATGAGTGGTGTATGAGCCACCTGATTGATAGAATTTGTTTTCTGAGTGATACAGTGTAGCTTAAGATGTGGTTGTAAGGGCACCTGCAGTTGTGACCTAATGTGACCTAATTTTCCCTCTATTTCAGACGAATTCTTTCATTTTGTCATTCTTTGCTTTGCCATTGGAGCTTTACTGATTTGCTACTACTACTACAAAGGTAAGGCAAGACTTCAATAGAAGGATAAATTGTTGCACACTAGAAAAATTAACAAAGCCAAACATCTTTTGTTGCCTTAGATTGGACTATTTCTCTTGGAATTGGTTTAATCACCTTTGCTTCCCTGGAAACCACTGGGATATACTTTGGTCTAGGTAAGTGTATCTACAGCAGTCAGCTGTATCCACATGAAGGACAACAGGGTCACACAGTCTTTAAATTACACAAGACTCTAAACCTGTTAGTGCCCAGATTCCATGAACCATCTCATAACATCTCATTCACCATTACACCATGGGGCTGGAGATGAGCAGCCTCAGTGACACTGAAGGGGGAGGTTGACTCATTGTCTCTTTTCAGTGGTCACAAGACCCTGAGTCACCGCTTTCTGCAGCAATGGCTGAATGCTAAGTTGCCATGACAACGCACAATTTTAGCAGCAAGGCGGTCTTCCCAGATACAGTCTAGAAGGTGCTGTGCCCTCAGGCTGCCATTCCTTCCCCTGGGACTGAGGCGGCTGAACACCCCCAGGAAGAGCCCACAGCAGAACCCGGATGGTGGCACCTACTGAAAATGATGCTTAAACACCAGGGATTCACGGCAATCCCTAGGGATGGTGTAGGAAAGGTGCAGCTAGCAGCAAGTTATTGCCTCCCAGCTGAGGACAGAGGTCTCCCTTGTAATTTTGTGCCAATATTTTCGGTAGGTTGTGGATGGTTCTCTCAGGAATCGGCCTTGTCACTACTTTGTTATTAATGATATCTCGGAACTGTTTGTTTAAACGGTAATCTTGGGTTCATTAGTACTGCAAGTGTCAGTGCTTGGTTTTTGACATTTTTCTATTTTTTATGTTTTATGTTGCTGTCTGGGTCATCTTGAAAAAAATGTGTCTTTTTCACAATTAGTGTACCGAATCCGGAGCGTTCTTGACGGTTTGGTTCCTCTGATTGACAAATTCAGGCCAACAGGTAACAGTGATCTTCCCACTGACTGCATGCAGTCCCCAGACCTTCCTGGGTACTTCATTTTAGTCAGCTCTTAAGAACAGCTTCTAAATTACAATACTTACAATTTTCAATCTTAACTTAAAATAAAAAATTAAAAGATTTTACTACATTTCCTTACAGCTGCTTGGGTTTGAAAATGAATTATTCTTGACTCCCTCTGTATGGTAGAGCATTTTCACATTTCTAATACCCTGCCCTGTATGGGGTATTAACCATTTCCTGACAATGTCTGAATAACAATTCTATAGCTCAGTTAGTTAAATATTCAGGGAGGAGGGTAAGTTTCCCTTGTTGGATCTTCACAAGCGCCAGGCTCATGTTTATCTGTGCTCCTGAACACAAAATGTGAAGAAACCTAAAAATCTGCATTATGTGATGATTTGAACACAACAGACCTGACAGTCGTCTTTTTCTTCATCATGCAGGTATGAGGAAAGCTGCCTAGGAGGAGTATTTCAGCAGAGTTCCACAAAATCCTGCTGTCTGCATTTCTAGTATTAAAAGAACTGCTTTATGAGGCAAACATAAAAACCTAATCTAATGGCTAACGTGAAATACTGAAATGTTAAACCATAGGAAAACATCATTCCCTCCCCTCAAAAATAAAGCTGAAGCTGCGTTACCAGGTCCTGTTCTTTCTTCTGAAGTGATCTGTGGCTCAGCAGACACTCTCCCTCTCTCCCTCTCAACACATTCTCTTTCTCTCCCCCCTGCAGCCATGTTAGTCTGCCTATGGTCTATCAGAATCAACAAAATGACCAATATTGTCCCCAGCTGGTTCTGGATTAGGATCTGGATGTTTCCATAGGAATCCTGGCAGCCACAGAGCCACCTCCTCTCCACCCCTTGTGATGCCGCAAACCAGGCAAACACCAGCTGCTTGCTTACACAGTTGAGCCCCAACAGCGCAACAGCACTGAAGCAGATTAATTTATTGTGGCAGAACTCAATATAGTGGGCGTGTAATGATTTCACCCAGTGAAAGCTGGGTGAGATTTTACATGCAGTGACATAATGGTGCAGTAATGAGATTATTAACAGCAGCAAATTTCATCTCCTCTTCTGAGGGGAAAAATAAAGTGCTTGATTTGACTCATCCCCCAACATTTTTCTTTCTTTGAGTAAAATAAAGTGCTACTTTGACACTCGTTTCATTCTCCAGGGACATGTTACACGTTACGTGTGTAGGGATAATGCAATCATAGGCAGATAGCAAAAAAAGGGGATACCTTTAGATTTCTAGTAAAAATGTAAGGTCTTCATACCCATAGAAGGATAAAGGCATTGTCAGACAGAAAGAGCCATAAGCCATGAAATTGTAAGGAAATGATCTAAAAGCCATTTGCCCAAACAGCCCAGTTTTAAAGAAGCAATTTCAAGTCTTATTCAGAAAAATTAAACCGCTTTTTAGTTGTACTTAATTTTAAATTTTAGGCACCACCGTTGACCGTTCTTGTGTGCTGCAGCCCCATTTGCACATCTAGAAATCTCAGCAATTGCATGCAGGCCTGTACCAACAGAGCACAGCAGTTAGGACATGTCAGGGGCTAAATTAAGCAGTAAGGATGAACACAAGTTGCTTTCTAATATTTATGTTCTCATTTACATGTCCTATTTACATGTCTTTGTAGAAATATGGCTTTTGGGTGAACTGAAAACTATAAGCAGTCACCACACTGACAAAAAAATTGCTTTTTTAGTTTCCTCTGCTGGATAGTAACTTTCTGAAAAGTAATTTTGGGAACAGTCAGGATGAGAAGCGTATTTTAGTACTAAATGTTTTCAAATTTGGTACTCTGCAGTCAACAGAATGAAATTATTATTTTTTTAAACAGAAGCTGCTTTAGGGTAAAATAAAACATTTAAAGAGAGCAAAACATTTAAAAATCACCCAGTGGAACCCATCATGTGAGATGAACAGCTCAGCCGCATCTGCTGGGGTATGAGAAGTTCTTCTCATATCCACCTCAGCATTTTAAACATTCCCGCCGCTTGCCCAATGCTCTTGTTCTGCTCTTGCCTATCACCCGAGCTGCAGCACTGGACAACCAATCAAAAATATAACACAAGTGCGTATGAGGAATTTCAAGCTCCTTAGCTGAGCTCGTGCTCACTGAGTTGCCGTTCCCCACGTCCCGCAAGCCCCCCCAGCCCACCGCCCATTCCCACAGCTCTGCCGGTCAGCCGCCTCCCCGGGGCCTGGTGCAGCTCCAGCCAGCACAGGGCCTGCTCCCTTCTGCTCTTTGGTTCTACACGGCTGGGGCAGTGCAGAGGGGAACCAAAGCAGAGGCACTTGCCACCCTCCTGCGATGCACGGGCCTGCTTTCCCCTATCCAACACTCAACATTCCTGCCCAGAAGGGGGGGGCTAGTGAGCTCTCCAGCAGTGAGGAGACAACTGTGTTTCCACCCAAGTCCCTGCAAGACAGGCTTTTAACCTTCAGCAGTAAGTTGGACCGAACACTGAACAGAGGTTACTGGATTCAGCCTAGGCTAGAGGGCCCCGTGTCTGTCCCTGCGGAAGCTCGGCCTGCCCAGACCTTCCGTGAAGCCCGCCCGGCCCCAGGCTGGAGCTCGCAGCAGGGAGGGTTAGCCCAAAGCAGAAGTGCTCCTGCTATACAGCAGGCAGGCAAAGGGCTGCTGCCCAAACTGTTACATAACCTGAAGGTTTTTCAATGACTGAAAACATTCAGATGTTACCCTGCTGCACAAAACCCCACAGAGAAAAAAAAGAGATTAAAAACCAGAAGGTTTTTTAAGCTGGTATTTTTATTAGAACTCTCTACATAAAGCACCTTTGCCTGCCTTAAACTTACAGCACCTCTCTGAACACCGCTTCTCTGTAACACAGCATAAGATGCTTCAAACTACTCCGCGTTTCTTGATTTGGACCCTGCCCCCTTAACAGCTTGCACAATGGCATCTTTATCAATGCCAAACATCTTCAGGAGCTCAGCTGACTTCCCGCTGCGTGGTACGTGAGATACAGCCAAGCGATGGACTGTGATACCAGGCTCACCCACGACTGCAGCACACACGGCTTCTCCAATGCCACCTGTGGAAAAAAAGCCAAACGTGACATACATCTGGGGTCTTCAACAGGCAACATACAGCTTGCACGTATACCCAATCCAAAGGTCTGTGCGTGTTAAATCCTCAATTCACATGCTTATGAGAAACACCAATCACAATATGTGTCTGAGTTGTCCATTTGTGAAATGAAAAAGGCATTCTGAGGACAACCAGCCTACATTGCCGAGGTATCTACAAACTGGCAGTGGGACACATACACCTCTAAAGGACACAGCTGCCAGGAAGCCCTCACCACTTCAGCACCAGCCACCGAGCCAGGTTTTAAAATATATTTAGACTGAGGAGTATTTACAAGCATACTTAATGCGCTGGAAGCCTTAATTCCCACCAATCTCAACAGCACTGAAGAGCAGCATCTTTTCACAATGCCTGTGCATGCCACCAGGCACCCGAGTTACACGATCTATTCAGCACCTTCGCTTAGAGCTCAGCTCAGACTACCACAGGGATAAGGATGCAACGGGGAGCTGCGTGGCCAGGAGACACTGGCAGCAGCAGTACTAGGGACAAAGATGACCCAGGACTAGTGTCGAGCATGTGCTCTGAGATCTGGCAGGAGACACCCTGGTGCCACGCCCCTTTTCAGAGCTCTGGGCAGTGATTTCCCCAGTCAAACCCGGCCTCCCGCCAGAGGCAGCGCGTGGATGCGGCCCGCTGTGGGCTTGCAAGGCATCTGGGCCTGTGATGCCTGCACCTTGATTGCATCACACTGAGAAAACTGTGCCAGCATAAATTGCATGTTCATCGCCTCAGAGTGGGATGATTTTGCCATCTTGCAAATCTGCAGTAAGATATTTGGTCCAGAGTTGAAAGTAAGCTAGTAAACAATGGGGCTCTGTGATGCTTTCAACACCCATAGTCTGGAACAAAAGTATGGTGTAACCAGCACTTATGGTAACACCAGCTCACTTCAGATACCTCGCAAGAGTGATGCTTCACCTTAAAGTAGGATAATATTCTCATAATATCTACTAATTCCTATTAGTAGATATCTACAATATCTACTAATGCCATATTGACAGCTGCCCCTCTGCTGATTTCTCCATCTTCCCTCAAGAGGAGCAAGCCTGACAGCAATTCACAACAGCTGCTCTCTGCATATGGTCTCATCTTCACGGGACATGTTTGCACAGGCAAGCCCCTGAAAAACCTGTGCAAATGAGACATGTTGGGGCGCAAGCGGCAGCAGATTATGGAGTTAACTTCAGCTGGCAGCCAGTCACAAGTGGTGTTTCCAGGACCCAGTTCCATTAAATAACTTTATCAGTAACCTGGATGAGGGGATCGAGTGCACCCTCTGTAAATTTGCAGATGACACCCAGTTGGGTGGGAGCGTTGATCTGCTCAAGGGTAGGGAGGCTCTACAGAGGGATCTGGACAGGCTGCATCAATAAGCTGAGGCCAATTGTACAAGGTTCTACAAGGCTCAGTGCTGGGTCCTGCACTTGGGTCACAATGACCCCCTGCAATGCTACAGGTTTGGGGTGGAGTGACTGGGAATCTGCTGGTGGAAAAGTGCCTGGGGGTGTTGGTCAGCAGCTGGCTAAACAGGAGCCAGCAGTGTGCCCAGGTGGAAGAAGGCCAATGGCATCCTGGCTTGTGTCAGAAATAGTGTGGCCAGCAGGGATGGGGAAGTGATTGCCTCCCTGTACTCAGCACTGGTGAGGCCACATCTCAAACACTGTGTTCAGTTTTGGGCCCCTCGCTACAAGACACTGAGTGGTTGGAGCATGTCCAGAGAAAGGCAGCGGAGCTGGGGCAGGGTCTGGGGCACAGCTCTGATGGGGAGCAGCTGAGGGGACTGGGGGGGTTTAGTCTGGAGAAGAGGAGGCTCGGGGAGACTCATCGCTCTCTACAGCTCCCTGAAAGGAGGCTGTAGGAAGGTGGGGGTCGGTCTTTTCTCCCAGATAACAAGCAGTAGAACAAGAAGAAACATCCTCAAGTTGTGTCATGGCAGTTTTAGATTGGATACTAGGAAAAATGTCTTCATCAAAATGGTTGTCAAGCATTGGAACAGGCTGCCCAAGAAAGTGGTTGAGTCACCATCCCTGAGGTACTTAAAAGATGTGTAGATACGGCACTTCGGGACATGCTTTAGTGGTGGATGTGGCAGTGTTAGGTTACAGCTGGACTCAAGCATCTTTTCCAACGTAATTCTGTGATTCTAAATAAAGTCCTGGCACAGAAGCTGAGGAAGTCTTATAGAGACTATTCTGCTTCTCCCAAATAGCATTTTATCTTAAGATTTACTTGGGAATCATCTTAGAAATTCCTTCTTGCATGTGTCATGCACTTTTTACCCTAGTTTAAGAACACTACCATATACCAGCAACAGATTCTGAAATGGCCTGCAAGCAGGTGGAATGAAGGAAAAGAAGGAGAGTCCAATGAGGATGTAAAGTGCTGTGGCTATTCACAGGCCCTGATCTGCTCTTTTATAGTAGTGGAGAAGAAAGAGAGAGGAATATATCCCAGAGTGACTGTGGAAACAGTCAAAATCATCTGATTTCAAGCAACCTGGAATCAAGCTTTTGG